TCTATCTATCTATCTATCTATCTATCTATCTATCTATCTATCTATCTGCTGCTTTAGCTGGATAGAACTTTAAGGAACATACATTCTCTAAACCCACAGAAAGAATATTGTAAAATAAGAAGAGAAATACAGCACAACAGGATTTCTACATATCACACTCCCTGCAGGCTATCCAATTTAAAAATAACAACAACAAAAAACCCAACCCACCCACAAACCCACCATTCCCCAAAGAACATTTTGCAGATTTTTTAAAGGTCTACGGAGATAGGGGAGACTCCCATTTTTCTGTGATCTGTGTCAAAAATGATTTAAACCTCTAGGGTCAATCTTTGAGAAAGTTTGTTCTCTCCAGCACACAGGATTTTATTCTTACTTTACGTTTTTTTGTAACATGGCAGCCTGGAGATTACAGCTGTAATCTAATACATGGAATTAGAATTTAGTTTCTTACAATCCCCCCTCTCTCCCACCTGCCACCCCCTTTGTCCTCCAACCGCTACCAACTAACTTGGTTTCAGGTGGCCGAAAGGAACCGGTTGGCGACTCTCGAATGTGCCTGGAATTTTGTATCCTGGGAATTGTCCAAGGTGCTAAAATAGACTTGGGCCAAGAGATCAGATTGCAGGACCAAAATAGAACACAGGCCGCAGTGGTGACAGCCTGTCTCCGCCACCTTGGAAATCTGAACTGAGAAGTGCGACAGCCAGACAAACCCAGTTTGTGTCTGGCTCTGTATAGAAACACGAACGAGCAAGCCATGCTAGAAGAGGCACGCTACATGCCTTGTCGCCAGATGCTTCCCGATCCATCCAAACTTGCAGAATGAGTTTTGGACCCCAAGCCAAAAAAGAAAAAGAAAGGATGGTTAAAATCTCACTCTTGGATTTTTCCGTCAGGGGAATGTCTTGGATGGACTACTGCAGCGAGCTTTCTCTGGGGCTGTCCTTGGAGACGGTTTGGAAATGTCAACCAGAAAACTGTAGTTGGGCCCCTGAGTAAATCTTCAGCATGCTGTAAAATCTCCAGGTTCAATTCCCAGTTTCTCCACTTTTTTTTTTTTTTACTATCAATTAATCCTTACAACCATTCACTTAATGGCAGTTCAAAGTTCCAGCAGCCCTGGAAAAAAAAAGGGACTTGGAACAGTCACTAAACGGACCAGTTGTTAAGTCAAGGATTACCTGTTTATGGTTAGTGTGGGTGTGAGCAGAGAAAATCTTAAGCCTAAAGCCATCGTAAAATAAAAACCACCTCAAACGCTATAGAAGAACTATAGAAGAAGCTATAGGCATCCCACAACACTTAAAGATCCAAACTCAAGACCGGTTTTGAGTGCAGAGGTTCATCCTGGAATTGTGTTTCTCTTACAGTCCAGATTATCTCTTGAAATCTGGGCTGGGAACATTTGGTGCGCAGGATAAAAAAAATCAACAGGCAAGTCCATAGGGGAAAAAAAACCCCTCCTTCTCAGGTGTTTTCATCCAAAACAGTTCACCTGCGTAACTGAAATAGCCGTTTTCCCTGGGTATAGGGAAAGCCCAGGGCACCACAAAGCCAATCCAGCCAAGCCTGGAATTTTGTATACTGGGAATTGTCCAAGGAATTGGACAGAATTGCTACTGTGGGTTTTCACTCAAAATGGAATAAAAGGAAAACAAAACGCTTTCCTTCCTTCCTTCCTTCCTTCCTTCCTTCCTTCCTTCCTTCCTTC